GAAAAATTCTGGAAGTATTTTTATATGGTAGAGAAAATTATGCTCATTACAATGGTACTTTTCCCATGAGTTGAAACGAAAAAGATTGAGAGTTAGGAGCAGATGAAGAGAATTCCTTCAGTTTTGCAATTTTTGAGCATGCTCAAAAAAGCCTAAAAACGTCAAAGAAAAGACGTTAAAGTCATGAACATGGGTTTTGTGACCTTCTCTTTCTAGTTGAGAGGAGATCGTGCTAATCGAGAGCAATTTTGATTTTCGTGAAAAATGCAGGCTTGAAAATCCGAAAAAGTCATGAAAAACAAAATTGCTCTCGATTGGCACGATTTTTGCTCAGCTAGAAAGAAAAGGTCGCAAAACTTATGTTCATGACTTTCCCGTCTTTTCTTTGACGTTTTTAGGCTTTTTTGAGCATGCTCAAAAATTGCGAAACTGAAGGAATTCTCTTCATCTGCTCCTAACTCTCGATCTTTTTCATTTCAACTCATGGAAAAAGTACCATTGTAATGAGCATAATTTTCTCTATCATACAAAAATACTTCTAGAGTTTTTCGTGACCCAGCTCGAAAAATGTCAATTTTGACTGATCTCCTTCAACTGCTTGTAACTCTCGAAGTCTCCAAAGTAACTCATATCGAAGGCACAGCTGTAAAGAGCATGGATTTCTCTTTCGAACAGATATAATTTCAACGAAATCCATCGAGCGGCAAGGAAGTTATGCTTTTTTGAAAATGATGCGCAAGAACTTTCGGACCAACCTAATATATACTTTCTGAAAGCGGAGACGAGGCGATTCCAAAGGTGACCATCTCGGCGTACAAGATATTCATCTTCAGAAGTTACGGATTTTTCTATCCTTAATACTCGTAAATCTAAAAGCGGGGGACAAGATGGTTTTAAAAACATTTCTCTTGCTGACGTTGCTATTTATCTACAGAAATTACAAATTTCTTCCTTTAAAAAATTCGTAAATGCTTGAAAATTGTCTAACTCTTTCCGAAACAAATGTTCTCGCATGCACATCTTCTATGGTAATTTTAAAAACAGGCAGGGTGATGTAAAAAAGGGAAATGGCAAAAATACAAGGTGCTGAACAGAAGTATAATTTTGCGCTAATCCAACAGCACATCGGTTCACATTTCAGAAAAAGACAACGTGATGGCACGGAATTGAAAATTATAAACTTTGACTAGGAAGAATGATGAGAGAACACCATGGCTCACCCCCCTCAACCCCCTCACCCCCCCCCAATCGACATTTCATAATTTCTCTGCCAAGTGAAACACCCTTTACCCTGGAGGGGCTGCGACCGCTGTGACCCCCTTCACCCTGGAGGAGTCATTCTCACCTTATCGCACCTGTGATTGAGGGTAGGACTAGGGGGCGAAGGGTCGTAATTAAGAACCGAATTTGATAAGTTAGGGAGATACTGCGAAGGTGAAGAAGAAATGCGCTAGTCCGGTGGATATCGCGATCACATGAAGGAATAACGGTCATAAACAGCATTCTATTGTTTCCACAATGGAACTTTCAGCCAAAATTCAAATCTTCATCTCTTTTACCTTGACGCATGAGGTCGACAAGGAAGCTTGCTGTGTGAAATGGGTATCATTTCCATAATCAACACGTCAAATTACCTCTATAAACGCTATGCGCTCTATAAACCATTACCTACTGCAGTTTCTAGTGTTTCTCAACGTCTAAAAAGCGTGGTTTTCAAACGTGATCAACTTGGTTCCAGAAGCTCAACATGTTAGCTTGAGTGCCTATCCTTCTACGTCATGCACCTTTCTATTGCTCAGAGTTCTGACAAGCACATTGTCTATAGCGCAGTGCCTGCGCGCGTCGATCAATGCGTTCTGCGAGTTCGGTGACGGGTGATCGCAGATATTTTTGCGGCGGGCGGCCAACGTCCGTCGTGCCCAAGTTGTGACTCTTTTGGGCGGTCATGACTTCGTCTTCTTTGAGTTGTGACGATTTTGGGGAGATTACTACTGGTTAGAGAACCTTTCGTGGCTAAAGAAAATTCGAGCTATCTCTGCTGCATAGAAAATTTTGCGAGCAAATCAAAAAATCCATTATTTGAGCCTTCCTCCACGCAAATAGGTCTTCCTAATACTTGATTTTTTCTTGCTTTCGCGAACGAAGAAAGCTACCTGGCCGATGGTCCCACTTGCTCTCGTTTTACTCTACTGTATGCATTACTGCATGACTGCATCCCGTTCGCTATACTTAGATTGTTGTTACTTTTAGAAACTGAGTTTGTCTTCCACTTTTGAGAAAAAATTGAAAAAGTAAGACGTTCGCTTTGGGCGGCGGTGCAGGAGGAACCAGAGCTGTTGACCCCTGTATCCAGGAGGGAAAGGGGAGGAGCTGGCTGCGTGCCAAGAAGGATCTGGCAACCCTCCAAGCTTCCCCCTCCCCCGCGCTGAGCATGGGTTTTGCCTTTTTTGCTCGGGAATTAGCGGAAGGAAAAGTCTAGTTCTAAAGACTTGGAGTGGAGATACAGAGAAGCGGGAAACAAATTTGTGACCAGTTTTTAAAGGCGAATCTTTTGAATGGATTTTTGTATGAATTCATATCAATGCAATTCATCATTCTTTTAAAAATTGGAATTGATGAAAAAATTTTTAAAGGGGTAAAAGCTTCGAAAATTTTTCATGAACTCCTATAAATGGGTTCGCGGAAAACTTACTCTATATTGCAATTGATTTTCCTGAGCTAATTTTCTCAATCTTTTACGATAGTCACTGCGTTAGTTGCATTTGAGCCAATCGATAGCCGATTATTTGACCTTTGGGATCAAGCCAGTCGTCTGATGAGCCAAGAAAGTTATAATTCAAGAGAAGACTTTATTCTCTGTTAACTCTAAAGTATTTTACTTGGGGGGGGGGGGGTGAAGGGGGAGGGGTGGGGTGAGAAAAATTCGCGAGAAAGCCGTTAAAGAGTCGTGTTTTAAGAGGTGAACTTGCGAAAGTAGATGCCAAATTATCCATCAAAATTTTCGAGTTGCAAAATTAGAATCGGGCAAAAAGTTGAAAAAAGCAGATAAAGTCACCAAAACTTGTCTGTTATAACAGTGATAGTGATTTACATTGGTTTCGCCCCATTTGATATTGTCCCACTTCTCTAATCCTGTGCCTCGACAACTGCCAGCGGGGTAAAGTCCAGGTTTGGTTCGCACTTCAAATCTGAGCTGTGAAGCTCTACTGAGCCTCCTCTCTTGGGCATAAGATGTTTGCATTTCACGCCCTTCTTGGATCTGAGTATCCAGAATTTCTTAGTCTCTTTGTTAAAGTTATTCTTAGAACCACTCTAAAGCTTCATTTTCGGCTTATGTCCTTTTGCTTTGAATCAATCTTTTTTCTGGTCATTTTCTAGGCTTTGTATCATCATTTCGATTCTGAACAAAATTTAAAAACAATTTAATGGTAGTGGTGTCCCATACATTGACTCTTAGAAAGATGGTTACTCTACTTATATATTAGGTTTATGACATGATACTATTTTTATTATCATCCTGGTGCCTGAAAACCTGTTCGAGAATCTTTACTGTCCATTTTTCAAGTTGCAATTCATAGTTTAACCTTTTAATCCATCAGATTTGATCAACATCTGGTAGTCCATCCACCATTCTCGCTCAACACACAATGGGAGCACCCCGTGGGCGGAGCGATGGGCGGAGCCTCCTCTGCCTTCCTCGTTCCCCTTTGGATACAGGTGGCAAGGGCTTTGGTTCCTCCTGCACCACCTCCTTCGCTTTGTTGGAGGTAAAGTGTGCTTATGTTGGCCCATTACACCCTGACCCATAATAAGATATTACACATTTAATTTTACGTATACTGTGGGAATTTTCTTTATAGATACTTTTTCTTGAGGATGACTGCATTTTGGCAGTTTGGTTTCGGAGCTTGGACCAGGGCCCGGCACAGATGGTTTGAGGTCAAATTGGACTTCGTTTTCAAAATTAGAAGCAACGGGGATGTCACATTTTTAAGGTACTGGGGAAAGCGCCGATAAAAACGACGAACATGTCAGATTTTACGAGTTGAACGTGTTCCTTCGCAGCGCGCGAATTTCAAACGCAAGAATCAAACAAATAAATGGCTTGTTTACAGCGCACAGACAATCACATGGCTCTGAATGTGGGCTATATGTGTACAATATTACTCCAAATAAGGTTATGTAAAAAGTTTCAAAAACTTATGTGTCCTAATATCCATTCCCGAATTTGTTGGTTTCTAGACCAAAAACCGCATAAATATCGGAGAGTTCACATAAGTTTTGGCCCTTTTTGATTTGGGCGATTAGAACGATCAAAAATCTGTCATATAGTGAAGAGAGCGAATCAAACCATTGCCTTTCCTCTTTTTTTGAGCCAAAAGTAGCGTAAATCTATGCGCTGATAAATACTGCGCTCTAATCACATGCGGCGTCCTTTGAAGTATGTGGCGAAAAATGCATCGCCAAATCGTTGAGGCTACAGATTTGGTTGGCCTAGAAGTTCTTCGACATTCTGAGAACTAAAATGCTACCCTACCCATTGAAAGAGCCTTTGATCAACTCGAAATATTTTCTTTTTGTGTTTTTGTTATATTAGGTACCTCAAAATGCGCTCTTTTCGCTTTTTATTATTATTTTAATTGGATAAGGGTTTCCCTACTGATTTTTACGTCAAGAGGGACTTCGTAAGTTTTAGCTAAGTCATGGGGGACTTCGTTTCCAAAAATGCTCCAAACCAACGCGTGCCGGGCCCTGGCTTGGACTTTTATGACTGAGAAGATGTTTTGTCAAGCATTAGTGAGCACCTGAAAGAACAAGAAAATTGCTTTCAGATAATATTATTATTTCTGCAACAAGTACAAAACTTCAAGAAATTAGCAGCGTTAAAACAAGGCAGCTAGATTGGACAGAACTTTCGGAACAACCTAGTACTTTTCTTTCCGAGTTGATGTACGGATGAAATAAATATGCATTATGTGGATGACAACTTCATATTTGTGGTTTGCTTATATTTATTTCTCTTTTTTGTCCTCAACAACTAACTGCGAAGATCGTTGCGTAACAACGCATGTCAATTTTCAACAAATATGTACAAAACATAGCATAACATTTCGAATCGTAGTCTAGAGGTACAGAAGAAAAGTCATGCGGCAATGAAAAACTAGTTAGCTAAATGACGTATGTACTAGAATTAAGTGCACAGGTGAAAGAAATGTCGAAGTGAGCAAGAAAACAATTTCCCCAAAAAAGGAGAAAATTATGGAGGTGAGAAGTGCAGTGAATATATAAACATATTTCCTCACAAATCACAGGCCATTATCCCTGAGATTCATAACAAAGAAAAAGAGTAGTGGCCAGCAATTTGCGGAAAAGATAAGAATTTTTTTTACAAAACGATGAGAGATTTAAGACGATGCTCGAGCTGTTCCTATCGAGATATTTGCGAATGAGACATAAAAGGGAACAATTAGCATTGGACCCTTGGAATGCTAAGGTGAGACGTACGACGTTGCGCGAAAAGATTATTACACGAAGTCTGTGGATATTTTGAAGTGAACAAATCACTGCCAAGGCGCATCATGTCCAAAGCACGACCGACTTCTTCCTGAAAAATGTAAAATAAAATCCTCTTAAAAAGATGCCAACTGCGTACACCCAAAAAATCCCATGAAAACTTGCATATGGTCATTTGACAAGCTTTAAAAAAATTATATTTTCGCATAGCAAGCCTTTTTGTAAGGCTACTAAAGTTATACGGCAGTGCCGGTCTTAGGGGGAGGGGATGGCAGCGAAAATTCTTAAAGGTAGGTCAAGGCAGATTTACCTTCCCTAAAAATCCATGAAGGGGTACTAGCTAAGTCATTAGCCAAACGGCAGCGCAAATGATTCATTCACGGCTGAGAAATCCATACCCAATTTTCCGCACCTGCGCCTTGGCCATGCCTCGCGGCCGACTTAGGGAAGGTCCCAGCGCGAACGCATGCGATTACTGTCACGGCGCAAGCGCGGAAGGTTTATGGATAATTTCTCAGCCGTGAATGAATCATTTGCTCTGTAATTCGGGCAGTGCCTTAGCTAAAACCCCTTCAACAGTTTCCAAGTGAAAAACCCAAGCGTCTAGATTTGCCTGGACCCTGCTTTTAAGGAGTATTTACATGAACTACAAAACTGCGCAAGTGACTTGTTTTTGTTGAAACCTAAAATAACTTTTGAAATTCTAAAAATGCCACCTTTTTTCAGAATTGGGGTTACAAGCCTACAAGTTGAGTGTACCCGAGACCTATCTCTTCTATTCGGAGATTTTTTGTTCTCCCCCCTCCTCGCACCGCAATTACCGGAAGCAATTGTATACAATAGCGCGCTAGGATCAAGGTATGTACGGTAGATTTCCAACTCAATTTCTCATTCACTTCTTTTTAACCAGTGAGAGTTTCAACTGTGATTAGCATCTCACCCCCTCAAAAAAATGAGCAAGTCTTGAAGTTTCGCGCCATACCGTACGCTTACCGTAGTATATATGAAATGCCTAAGCATGCGGAATGAACAGGAATTTGTAACTAGTCTGTCAAAAGGTGCAGTGTTCTAGTAAATCGAGTTTTTCATTTTTCAGATGTCCGAAATCGAAAAGGATCAAATTAAAAATTATTTACCTGAATGCTGTGCAGTCGTGGTGCTTTGACACCATCTCGGAGGAAGCGTACGCTCTTTGGTACAATGATGGGTGCATGAAGAAGCTGAAATTCCGATATTAGAGAATTGTAAACAACTGTGGAGTCATCTGTAACTTATTTTGCATATTGCACACTATGCGCGCTACTTGACGACTTGCAAAGAGTTGCAAGATAAAAATTGCTCATTTCCAGTAATTTCTCATTGTTTTTCTATTTCTTTCAACTTGCTTTCATATATACCAGCTTACAACATATATCTATACTTTGGTTGAGAAGGCTCCTTCTGAGGAGTTAAATTTCGTCGGTTACCGCGCATTGTGTGCAAGCTCACATTTTAAGTTACAAATGAATGAGGATAAACACATTTTACTTTTCTAATCTAAATCTACTATTTTTCTAATCTATCGCTCTACTCTACTTTATACACAATATGGAAAACATACAGAAATACTTCTCCAGAAGATGCGTTGCAAAAATAACCAACAAAATCCTGGATTTTTCGCGCAAATATTTGTCTGTTGCAATCGTACATAATACCGCCTAATACTCGACTATATACACCGTCCATTATAAGCGTTTTACACTCTGTAAACCATCCTTGGCTCTGCGGATGTCTCCTCACAAGAATAACTTTGATTTTAGAATTGCTTACCTCATCGTCTTCTTCTTCATCCCCGTGCGCACCGGGAATGGGAACACCTTGGGGTTGCTCTTCACCGGTAACAAGTGGGGTTCTCATAAGTTCATGGATATCCATTCTTTTCGACGGATCCGTCCGCAGCAATGATCGGATGTCTTCTTTAGCTGAAATCGGGGAAATTAGTATGCGCCATTCAAAACAAAGGCTGCGCTGAAATTTGTTTTTCTTTCGAGCAGTTAGTACAGTCAAAAAATGATAGGTCGCTTCGTGTCGTACGTGCAGAGCTCTTGATCGGGTACAAAGATTTTCCCAAGTGGGGTGCCGGAGCCGAAGCTCAGCCGGAAGACCCAAAATCGAAGAGACGGTGCTGCGTATGGCGCGGGGCGGCATTTAGCCGTGTTCGCAAAAGTCGTAAAAGCAGTACGGTAACAGTACGGTATTTTTTGTGTTCTACGCTTACTAGGTTGAGACACTTCGTCCCATTCCTCCGGTGGAAAAGCGTAGGTGCCCTTGGCGATTCGATTTCGCATACCAGGTGATAGGGCAAGACCTTTCATGCTGTAGAATGGCGGATACCCACATAGTCTGTAAACCACCCATATGGGATACATCTCGCTACAATACGTGTACCGTATCCGAAACAAAAATCAAAACTCTAACAAGCATGTGCATCGCTTTGTGGGAATGGAGCAAAGAAGTCAATAATGGCCTGCGGGTGGCCGTTTTTCCATCCTCACGATAGAGGCAGTGTCCAGGCAAATCAAAACTGGGTACTGGGTTTCTTAAGTGTAAACTAATTGAGAGGCGTTAATCATGCCATTGCCCAAGCAGCATCTCATATGATCGTTTCTGCGCCGAAAAATTCGACACCAAACATTTACCCAGTACCGTACTCTCTCATAGCGTCAGCGCCGCCGTACGGTGCTGGGCGGGAGTTTAAGGTTAAATTTCTCGGACATGACTCAATCATATGAACTACCGCTTGGGCAATAGCTTAATTAAAGGCCTCCTAGTTAATTTTTACATCGAGACCTAGGTACCCAGATTTGGACACCGCATTTGCTACAGGAAGACGCAGCTCTCTGGTAAAGTAGATCCTTCTAAATCCTATTTCCACGGAACGATACACATACTAAATGATCTAATGATCTTTTTGTAATAATTTCGTCGTTATTCTTGTAGCGCAAAATCCTTCCACCTCCTCATAACTTCTTCACAAAAATTACTTCAAAAATATAGTGCCAGATAGTAAGCACTACAAACGGTTAAAACAATGGATTTTTGCAAAATAATGAAATTCATCCAAGTTATTTGCATAGAGAGGTGGAAGAATTTTACACTTTTTGATTTTTCGAGAAAATTTCATTATCAGATACGATACTGCTTGTCACAAGATGTCCACAAGGTACGACGCCCATGCACGAGGTTTTATTTTTCTGATTTTAAGAAAAAATTTTTAGAAAATTTGTAAAACTCACAATATATACATAGCAACGCCCAATGACCACATATCACAGGATTTATCGTATAGTTCACGGGATAGCACCTCAGGAGGTCTGTAAGAGGTAAGATTCGATTTATAGAAAAGCTTGAAAAGCAGTGAACTTACGCATAGTAAGGAGTACAACATGGTGACTCCATGAGTACGTTACGTTCTGGGCGTTTAGCAAACCCGTAATCGCCTAATTTGTACACGCAGTCGTCGCCTTTTGAACTGAAAAAGTATCCATTGATAGTCTGCCATGGTAATTTGAAGATCTGAACTCTTTCTTTACAACATATTCGAAGTAAATATTTTCTTTACCGGGTAAAGTTGCCCATCAAAGCCCATAACATTCCCTCCTTTCTAACGTACACATTTTGCGCTAGGCAACTAACGGCATAATTTAGTAAAAGTTTCATCAACATTAAATTGAATAAAATTGCTTTGAGGGAAATAGAGAGATCGTGCAATCACGTGAAAGTACGGTCAAAAATTCTCACCACGCCCACTGCTGATTTTTGGAAATTTGTAAGAAAGTGGAACAGTGAAAACAACCATGTACACCATACGATATCACAGATAGATTTTCTCTCCTCGTCTCCTCCCCCCCCCCCCCCCCCCTCCCTGCCCCTCCATCCTCCCCAAAATGCCACCCATTTTCCTTGCCCTCCTTGAGTTTACCGAACATAAGCAGGGAAAATGCAGGCAGCACTTAGGTCTAATCGCCCTTTAGCTTCTCAATAACATTTAGTGCCAATAAAATAATGTTCTTATACTTTCAACTATCGAAAGGGAACGGGGGAGGGGAGGAGGGGGGGGGGGGGCAACAAAGAATTTCTAGGCGGGCGCGGCTTGCCAAGCCTGCGAGAATTTATTTCAAGCTTTTATAACCTTAAAATTAGGGAACACGATTTCACAGAACCCATTTAATTTTTATAAACACGTGAAGACGTTAAGATTGTGAATTCAAGATTTCAGCGAATTTTGTCAATCGGATAGGACATCTCCAAAAACGTTGAGACCTTTTTAAAGGCCTCCCTCCCTCCCCCCCCCCCCTCCATCCCCCCTCCAGCCCTGGAATCGGCCTGCCTTTGATGTGGTATTATCTACCTCCTCCACTCATTTGCAAGTATTTCCGAAAAAGTTCAAAGATCACATCGTGCAAACACAAACCTGCAAAGTATATTTTCTAATTTGATATCTCTATGTGCGATGTTCATATCGTGAAGATACTCGACCGCTGATCCAATCTGTCGTAAGATCTCGCCGACCTCTGAAACACACAAACTTTTATCAGTTCTGATCTCCGGTCCGCTCTGCCAGCGCATTGCCACCGGCAGATGTAAATATTTGTGTCCCCCAACAACGTGCAGAAGATACTTTGTCCTCTGCACTGACTAATGATAGTGATCTTTGATGAAAAGAAGAAAACTCACTCTTTTCTGAATAGGGCTTACTGCCCTGCTCCTCGAATTGGCTGAGAAGATCTCCGCCTTCCAAAAATTCGACAACCATAAGGAGACATTTCACATTGTCGAAGGTGTTCTCATAGATGTCGATGATCGTCACGACATTCTCGTGAGCACTAAAAACACGTGGTGATGTCTGGAGAAGATTATTCGACAAACTTTGCCCTTGCACTGTGTGATCATAGGCAGACGAAATGATTAGGTGATCAAATTTGTTTATAGCAAAATCATACTTTATTTTGATTTAGCGCACCCCAAAGGTAAAACTAAATATAGCACGGAATAGTAAATATAATGCAATGATTTATAATGTCTAGAGATGCAAAAATTGAGACTGGAAGAATAAATTTTTTCTGCCTATTTTTCACCCACATAGAGTCCTTCAATTGCGGTATTTAGCCAATTTATTCGCCAAGTGGGTAATAAAACAGCCGTTGGCAAACTAGTGCTCAAAAAACAGCTCGTTTGATTTATTCGTAGTTAAGAAAATCACTTTAAACTCTCGCCCAGTACCGTACTCGAAGACAGTGACCCTCTGAAGATGGTAGTGGGCATGTGTTTGGAGTGGAATTTCTCGGTCAAGATTAATCGTATGGGATTGCCGCTTGGATAACTGATTGACCTAAGCCTCCCAAGCAATCCTCTTAGAATAAAACTCATGTGATTGAAGTTGCTTGGACGCGCTCCAACTGTGGATAGAAAAGAATTCTTACTTGGTCAGATAATGCAGACTGATCTCCCTTCGAGCCTTGGGACCATCTCGAAGCACTTTTAGCGCAAATTTCTCGTTGGTATCCTTGTTATAGCAGGCCATCACCTTACCGGACTCACCAATTCCAATAATCTGAAACAAAAACATTTATTTATGTACGTCAAAATTTCTCAAATTCATGTTGAACCTACTTCGTGAGAAACAACATAATCTTCGGTGATCGGATGTGTATGATATGGAAAAGTAGCACTTTGGCTAGCTACCCGTGATCGTTGTCCTTGTTCCTGGGTCTAAAAATAAATTATACAGTAGGAATGTTATTGTTACATTAAAGTACCGTACCTCTGCTGGATTAATACTGGCACAAAGACACAGTTTCTTCTGATTAGTAGTAGGGCTGAGATCATCTTCCGAATCAACAATATCGATAGCCAGAGTGCTTGTAGCATTGAGACATAGGGACCGCTGAAAATGGATATTTTTATTGTATCAGTCCTCAATGGCCATTTCAGAAAGACAAGACGATGCACAAAAAATAAAATTCTCAAAAAGCTAATTTTAAATGGTAAAAATAGGATGAATGAGCAAAGATTCCGTAAAAGAAGAAGATAGATCTCAAAAATTTTATAGGTCTCTAGCTTGTGTACCATCGAAATTTGATTATTCACTATCATCTATTTATTCGATAATGAAGGTGTGCCATATGTAACAGCAATGATTGAAAATCATGTAAAAGATAACTTTCCTACTTAATTCATGATGTAAGTCGTCTCTATTTTACGAAGAAGAGTTCAATCGGATTCCCCAATAAAAACAGAGTACACCAGTTGAAAGACCTAGAAGATTTAGGAATGTCTTTTAGGAGTCAAGTAAATTCAGCTTATGTCAAAATAGACGGTGTAGTAGAGTAACAACTTCTCAAAAAATAGGTAACTTAAGCTACAAAGATCAATAATTCTTATGTTTTCTGAACTGTTTACATTCACATCATCAACCATCGGTTTAGCTCACAATTTGTTCATAGCTTTCCCCACTCTCTCGCACTATGCCTGATGTTAACAAACTTTGTTCCCTTGTTTTCTCGTCGCAATTGCACTTTCTGCCATTGTTTTCACGTCAGTTCTACTACGATTACGCCAGCTGACGTGCACTCAGCCCCAATTTTCGATGATGTACTCACTAGGCCTAAGAACTACAGGAAGGTTAGGGCACAATGCACTTAATTCGTGCCACTTACGAAGCATTCAAAAGAATGTTTTCAAGATATAGCACATTGCACTTTGATGCATTTATTAAGTGTGAAAAATATCAAGGATACGAGCGATTGATAAAGTAACTTCGAAAAAAAACAAAAAAAGCCGCATGCCTTGACAACTCCACTCTAATTTTCAATGTTTTCGATATTTTTAGACGATATACAATAGTAGAAAGAATAGTACATATTCCCATCACGGTTAAACTAAATTTCATGCCCCGCTCCGAATTTGCTGATTTTTTTATTTTAATTTAATTTGATTTGATTTTTTTCTAAAAATGAATTTTTTATTGCTTCGACATAGGGGCATCAAATGGGTAAATGGACTCACGAAAAGTTAAGGGTCCATATTTTTGAGAATAAGAATGAAAAGGAATTATCCATACCCTAATTATTCATCAAAGTGGTGATTTTCTTTTCCAAAATAAAGAACATCTGAGTCTATTGAAATAGATGTGTTTACTTTCTGGATGCAAGTGGTACGTTAAGTATACTGTGAAAAAAATTGAAATAAATTTGAATAAATAAAAATTAAATTTGCCTCTTGGCAGTATTTAGGCAAATTTGGATAACTAATTCATTATGATATGTGAATTTGATTAGGAACTCTCGGCTTAGCCATGGCGCAAGCGGCATTTTATGATTCATTCTTGGCCGTGAAACCCAACCCTGAATTCTCACCCGGTACCGTACCCTTGAAGATCAGAGTGCATAACCGGATACGGTAATGGGCGAGGATCAAGTGCTAATTTTTCCCACCATGATTAATTTTCATAAAGTGCCGCTAAAGCAGTCACTTTGCCTTTGTGTCGAAAAATCTTTTGAACCGTGAAACAAAGCTCAATGATTCCCTTTGTCAACCATGCTTTTGCGCATACATTGTGTGTGATTACACAAACTCTCACGCTATGCGATGGAAATGAGTGTTTACAACAGCGCTAGAGACAACAAAAAGCATATGAGTGTGCGCTTGCAGTAGCTGACAGATGGCTGTTTACCGTCGCAGTATCTTTGAGTGAGCAAACAACAACATAAGAGATTGCCTTAGGATTTACCTGAATGGATGTGGGTGACGGGGTATAGGTGGTATCGTCTTCAATGTCGATTCTTAGGGAATGGGTTGATGGCGAGCGGCTTCGGGGAAATTGGAAGGGGTTTCCGTCAACGGTAGAGGAAGAAGAGGTGGATTCCGTTGGTTCGGCTTCAAGGATATCCTCGTCAATCTCGAACATCATCTTTACTCTGCAAATATATTTTTAGGCTCAGAAGGCATACAATTAGGTTACAGTACGACGAATAAAGTAAATTTATAGAAGAAAGAAATCCCTGACAAAGCCGAAACCGTTTAATTCATGATGAAACTAAAGAAATAGAAGAGTAAAGAACCCGAGAAGATGAATGAGCATTCAAGCAAACACCTCCCGACAATGTTTGAGGACTACGAATTATGTGCATGTGACGGGATAGACACGCCAGTTCATAGTACGATCGAGCGGGAAGTAAATAAGCTTAGTCCTGGAGATCCCTAGGGCTCAGAGAACTACAAAGTGCAAGTTTAGCTTCGAATAGAACACCGGGTGAAATTCTTAGTGCTAGAATATTCTGCTTCATCTTTAAAGTGCATTGAGCATAGTTCATAAAATTCAATGAGATAATCCAGTATAATAAAACTTGATGAGATCATGAAATTTATGATCCTTCAATTTCAATGGGCACATAAAAATTTTTCAAATTTAACTAACCTGACGGCTTAATGTGCTCCAATGAAACAAAACTCCTGTACAAATTTTTTGATAGTAAGTGTTTCTCTTCCTAGCTTGTCAAAATGGACCAAAAAATTTTCTGAAATAGCAGTCACAAATTCATAATCTTTTAGCATTTTAATGGCTATTTTCCAAGATGAATCTCCAAGAATTTCTACCAGATCGATACGCTCATATGTGGAGAGACGAACAATGGGAAATGAAAATTAAAAGTAACACCAAATCAAGAAATTTTCCCTGAATTTTTGAAAATATCGAAATTTATTGGATTGCACTCAAACATACAGATGAGCAATGGAAAATGAAAAATGGAAAATAATCTTGGGCCAAAAAAGTTTTCAACTTTACGAAAAGAGAATTGTAGCAGAAATTCGCAAATTTCCAAGCGCGATTATTATTTTTGCAATTGTCGAAACCCGCTACATGTTGATCACATTTTCAGCAAGGAATTCATTCTTTAAACATCGAAAAATGTATTTCAGTGACAGAAATAACAAAGAAAATCTTTCGCAGAGCAGGAAGAAAATTTGTTGGAAATTTTCAATCAAGTATGGATGTGAAAATTCAAAAAAAGTTGCCAGAAAATATCGACCACGTGGACGCTCTATCTCTCCTAATCTCTGTGACCTCCACCCTAAGCAGCATGGGGCGTCGTTGATTGTATATGCAGTATGACTAGGGGGTAGACCCCCGCGCCGCTGGTGGTACAAAGTCCAAACGCAAGCAGAGACGGGGCCCCGCCGCGTGGTGGGGCGTCGCTGTGATATTGTGAGAGCGACAGCGTAGAGGGAGAGGGGGAGAGGGGGAGAATGCCCCGGCATCAGTGTGTGCCTGCTATAGCTATGGGAGACAGAGACTGAACAGGCTGAAGGGGGGGGGGGGGTAGGGGAGGTGATGTGAGCTTTGGTGATCGCTAGCCCCGGCTAGGTCGCCCCTTCGATAGGCGAAACGTAAACAAAATGGTGCTGATAGCAAGAGTTTATGGTTCGAGGAAAGTAATCGGAAGTTTTGCGCTTTACCAGGGAACCACAGATCAGAAATGGATGACTGTACGGAACAATGTAGAGATGACCATAAAATCTTTATTACATGCGAAAAAATGGAAAACTAGCGAAAGAAAAAATTTGATCTTTCTCGGGTATCCTGACAGAAAAGGAGGTCGAGAAGAATTGAGATAGATAATTCCCACAGAAGACGACTGTGAATAACTGTCACCAAACACCGCCACCCACTTCCGCCTTAAAGCTGGAAAATGGGGTCGAAATGTCCTTGCAATCACTAACATCAACGTTCCACTATAGTCCATAAAACGTGTTTTATGTTTTTCAACGCTCCATGACACTTTTTTTATTTATTGATGTTTTTAACATTTCACGAAACTTTTTATTGCCACAACATCACGAGTGAGCGATAGATAGTAATCGAACTTGTTACATGTCTATGAAGCTTCACTACTAAACAAAAACATGATTTGGGGGGAGGGAGAGTGGAGGGGAACTTGTCTAGAAATCTCTGTTCTGCTCAATAAAAGTAACAAGGTTGGAAAAATCACATGATGTTATTTCGGCTATGGTCTTGCACACATTTGATTTGAAGCCTTTCTGCTCACACCATATAATCACTTTGACAAATATTTCTCACCAAACGGTTGAGGATGGGAAATGAACAAAAGGGGAAGGAAGAACGAAGGACAAGACCTACCAAACTGATAAATTTTTCAATAAGCAGGAATGTAAAAGTGACTGGACTAAAACCTGTAATAGTTTGTAATATACAAACACTGTTAAAGAAATTTTCTTAAAAAACGCTTTTACCGAGAGCCAGACTGATCTGACACCGTACGCTACAGTACTCCAAAGAAGTGATCTACAGACTACCGTTCTAGACGAACGAGACTGTGATTTACACCTACATAACTAAACAAAAACCGATTGCAAAAACATGTTCATAAAGAGCGGAGTTGATCTACAGTAAGCCATAGTAATTGGCGAGAGTTGACTTGAGAAATATATATTCAGCAAAAGAAAGACTGATCTACAGTAAGTTACTGACCCAACCAGCGCTGATCTACAGTGATGTAACATTAAAAAATTAGACTTGTAGAAATACACGTA